AGGAGGAGAGGAACGCGGGGCACCGTCTCTTCAAAACGAGGACCCAACACCACAGGATGGTTGGGAAAAACACGCAGCCCCCGACAAAATTTGTATTGTTGCATTGTGCCTGGTTGTTTGATTGTTTTGTTTCACGCATTAGTTTTGACCGAGCAGGAGCAACGAGAACGAGTTCAAACCTATCACACTCTTCTAATGATCTCTTTGAAGAATACTGAGAAATTGATTTCCGACCTGGCTGTCCAGACACACGGAAAACCAAAGTCGTGAGCATGCTTGAAATGTCTCCTACATAAACATCCATGAAACACTTGTGTTTTACATGGGAACACGGATTTCTGAAGGAGAAAGCAGGAACTGGTCTTCCCTGTGCTTGCACAGTCAAACCAATGCGGGAGATCCCCCCTTCCCCCCCCAAAACAACATGCTTCCGAGGCCACTGGACTTCGGTTCCGGAGCCGCCACACAAGGGAATCGAGTTGCAAATGTGCCACACAGCGATGTTTATCGTTTGAAGCACCAAGACTTTGGAGACTCTGAGCAACTGATTTTGGCGCGTGTTCATGCCAATATGACTGGTGCATGTTCGCTGTTATGAAAAGGTCTTGGGAAGGGGGAAATGATGCGCATTGTTGGCTAATTTCGGAGAGGCTGCGGAAAACAAAACAAAACGCTTCCAGGCCGCTTGTCGAGGGTCAACGTTTCAGTGCGTGGTCATGTCAATGTAACGCATGCATATTTCGCGATTGCTAACGTTCACTTCTGCCCACGAGGACATTTCAAGATTTTGACAATGGGGGGGTGGTACGTACATCTTTCGCCAATTTCGGGAAGGGCGGGGCACGCTAAAAGGAGGTCCCTGGGTCGCTTGGCACAAATCATGCCTCTTGCACTTGCGCGTGTCAATAACACGTTCTGTATGTGTCGGCGAACTCTTTCTGGAGTTTTCGCCGCGTAATGTTTGCAAGTACCTTTCGGGTACGTTCCGTGCCCCTTCAAAATCAAATCCATGGGTCGCTTGGCGCGGAACATCCTATCCGCACTGTTCGTATATATTATTTTGACAATTACTGAAGACGATTTGCGGGCGCCTCTAATACTTGTCGGGTGCCTTCAACATGAAATCCTTGGGTCGCTTGGCGCAGATCATCGTTCTTGCATCTGTTACTTTCAATAGCACGTTCAGCACGTTCCGAGGGTATGCGTTTTCCCCAAACTTGGTGGGGCGATTTGCAGATGCCTTTGAAGTGCCTTTCGGGTGCTGCTCGGGTGCCTTGGCAATGGAGTCCCTGGGGCGGTTGGCGCAGATTACCGATTTTGCAAATGTGAGAGAGCGCGTTTCACGGGCGCTTGCCTTGGGAACATTCGGTGGCGCGTTTCGAACCGGGGGGTGGGCCCTCCCCCCAACACTCGGCGCCGTCGATCAGAAACGGGGGGACTCCCCTTCCCCCCAACCCCCCCCAATCCCGAACACCCCCCCCCCGGCGCTGGCGCCGGCGCTGGCGCTGGCGGCCGACAGCAGCGCCGACGGCGGGGACGCAGCGACAATGACCAGAGGCAGTCCAACGGGGGGGTGTCCAAACCCCCCCCCCCACGCCGGCGCCGGCGCTTGCGCTGGCCGCGGCCAGCAGCGCCGGCGCCGGCGCCAGCGACGGCGGGGACGACGCAGCGACGATTACCACCACTACCACCACCACCACAGCTACCACCACCACCGCCACCTCAACCCACCACACCAACCCACCACACATCCACCACCACCACCACTGCCACCACCACTACCATCACAACCACCACAACCACAACTCACGACCATCACCACCACCACACCACCACCACCACCAGCACCACCTCTTCAAACCACCCCCACGAGGGGGGGGGGAGTCGAAACCATCCCCCCCTCTCTATCCAGGGGGGGGGTCCGGTTCCAAACCCCCCCTCCAAGCGACCACAGAACGCGCTCTTTCGCAGTTGCGCATGTCAATAGCACGTGTAACATGTTTCGAGGAGATCGCTGTTTCCTGGAATTTGCTGTGGGCGTTTTGCGGGTGCCTTCGGGTTACCTGTCGGGGGCCGCTGGGGTAGTACATCCCTGGCTGCCTTCAAATTGCGGTATTTGGGTTGTCTGTCGCAGATTATCAGCGTTGCGCTTGCACATCCAAGCAATACATCCATAAGATTCGAACAATTGTTAGACGTGTCTGGGCCTACTCAAGCCTCTGGGAGGCCTCTCGTGGCCACGGTTGGATTCGCCTCGGATTTCTGCTCCAGACGCCCCCCAGGAGGATTGAACAGGTGTCCCTTCTCCCCATAGATTGCCTCTTAAAGCGCCAGCCAGAATGATCGCGAGTAGTTGAGTGGCTGCCGTCTGGTAGCTCTCTGGAGGCTCTCGGTGACTCTCCAGGTGCCTTACAGGGAGCCTGCCACGTGCCTTACGGGAGTCTTTCGCGGTGCCTTGCGGGTGCCTATCGGGTGCCCTTCGGGTGCCTTTCGGGTACCCTCGGGATGCTCACCGACGACACTCAGCAAGCACCCTGAAGGCACCCGAAAAGGCCCGCGAGTCACCTGGAGAAAGCTCCCCTCCAGGAAGCACCCCGAAAACACCCAAAGGCATCCGAAACGCACCTAAAAGGATCTTGGCGTATATTTCGAACGGGTTTGGTGTACTCTGCACAAGATTGCAAAACTTGTGTTTTCATTATTAGCTGTTGGATTCATGGCATCCGTGGTTGAGCTCACAATTTCTGAAGGGATTTGCTTGCAGCCTCGGCGTCTTGAGTCTTCTTCAGTCGCGGGGTTCATGTGATCCAAGAAAGTATTGTGGATCTTTGACGTCCTTGCGAGATCTGCGTTCCCAATATTGCTTTTTTGAGTTTCCATGTTTAGTGAATGATGTACGATTCAGAACAAACGTCACAATGCCCGCATATGCCGCCTACTCGGTAACGCAATTTGGCAAACATAGCGTGTTCAATATACTCTCTGGATTTACCCTCCCCGTCTGATTGTGCTGCTCCTAGTGCTGTTTGTGCTTCTGGCAGTGCTGCTGCTGCTGGTGTGCTGCTGATGGTGTTGCTAATGCTGGCGCTGCTGCTGCAAATGCTGTTGCTCTTGATGTGGATTGTGCCTCTGATGGTAGAGGTTCGCAGTTCAGCTTAGCCAAAGCAAGACAATTTCCACATTCAAGGTTGCACCACAATTCGCTCCGACACTTTAGCTATACATAATTGTTATGAGATGTTGTCTCTTGAGGTGCGCAGCAATTCTTCCTGATTGAGTTTGTGCTTTGTCGCGGGGTTGGCGCGCCTGGAAATTCAATACGACGTGTCTGATTATATATCGATGAGGTGATGGCGGGAACGTTGACGAATATGGTCCTGTCATTCTGCGACAGAAACAACAAAAATCTTGGGAGGGCGCGGAAGCAGCCGCTCCGTCACAATCCTGCACCTCTTCGTCCTTCCTCAGCATATCCTCCTCGTCCACGTTGCTCATGGACCTCAGGTCACAGGCCAGTTAGCCTCGAGGTGCAGCAACTGAAGCCTCCTGCTCCCTCATCCCTCCTCCCTTCTCCCTCTTCCCAATTCCTCCTCCTCCTCCTAAGTCCCTCCTCCTCCTCCTCCTCCTCCTCCACCTCCACCTCTTCCTCCTCCTCCTCCTGGTCCTCGGCCTTTTCATCCTGCTCCTCCTCATCCTCCTCATCCTCGTCATTGTCCTCCTCCTCCTCCTCCTCCTCCTCCGCCCAACCCTCTTCCTCCTCATCTTCCTCCTCCTCCTCCTGCTCCTCCTCCTCTTCGTCTTCCTCCTCCTCCTACGCATCCTCCTCCTCCTCGTCCTCCTCCTCCTCATCCTCCTCCTCATCATGCTCCTCCTCGTCCTCCTCCTCCATTCATTTTCCATGAAAATACATATATATATATATATATATATCTCTATATGTATACATGCACATATACATATGCATATACATATACATGTACATATGCATATACATATACATATACATATATATATACATATACATATACATATACATATACATATACATATACATATACATACATATGTGTATATATATATATACAGAGCTAACACTGCTCCCTGTCGCACCCCGAGGCCGGTCGAAAGGGCGGGCCGGGCGCTCCGCCCAAGACTTCCCCACCACGTATGACCCTGAAGCTAAAAAACTGACAGCAGTATCGCAAAAGGAGAGCTGGTGGTGTTCAAAATGTGGCTCTCGCCTTAGCGCCGCGCACGTTCGTTTAAACAAATTAGAAGAATTTAAAGAATTAAGAGCACGTGGTTTTCGAAAAGTGGCTCTCGCCTTATCGCCGCGAACACTCATTCGCTTGAAGAATCGAAGAGCTTTACGGATTGAGGGCGGGTGGTTTTGAAATTGTGGCATCGCCTTAGCGCACCACACACCCGTCTCAACAAATACAAAAGATTCAAGGATTGAGGGCGCCTCGATTTCTAGATGTGGCTCTCGCCTTAGCGCCGCGCATACTCGTTTTGAAAATGTACAAGAGATTCACGGATGGAGGGCGGCTCCTTTTCACATTGTGGCTGTCGCCTGAGCGCTGCGCACATTCGTAAACATTTGCAAGAGTTTCACGCAATCACATGATCAACGCACCAAAAAAGATGTTTTGGAACGATTCGGGATTGTCAAGACGCAACAAGTACGCTGATTCGCGGCTTTGAAGTCCCAAGATGGCGTTCTGGTACGATTCATCATCGTCAAGACGCAACAGTCAAGTAGATTCGTGGAGGTGCAGTCCCGAGAATGGGGTGTTCTGACATGCTTCAGGCTCTTCAAACGGTTGTCTCCCAACGGGGTGCTTCCCTCAGTGGAAGTGAGCCCTATGAAGAGGGAGTTTGTTGGGGGGTGTATTCCGACAACGTTGGTGGGCCTTGGGTTTGCTCTGTTCCCCCTCCCCCTCCTCCTCCCCCTCCTCCTCCCCCTCCTCCTCCTCCTCCCGCAGGGGGCACGGCGGGACCGTTCAGACCGCCGGCGCCCTCCAGGCCCGCGAGGCCCCCCAGCCCAGCGAGGCCCTCCAGCCCGGCGAGGCCGCCCAGCCCGTCGAGGCCGTCCAGCCCTGCGAGGCCGCCCAGGCCTCGGGGGGGTGCCCGCGCTGGCGGCGCGCCGAAGCAGAGGGTCATCAAAAAAGGGAAGCATGACGGGTACCGCTGTTGCGGGCACGGTTTGTACCTCTGCCCACTGCGTCTTGGACGTTCTGGGAAGGGGCGCCATGAGGCCGCGGCGCAGCGGATCTGGATAACAATCTGACCTCCAGGGGCGAAATTGTGTTATCCAGATCCACGGCGCCTCTGGTATCGGAGGAAGGGAGCCCGAAACTCCAAGACGCAGTGGACATGGATGAAAATCTTACCCGCAGCTACCCTTCTCTCGTTTTCGCCTTATCGGGCCTCCTGTAAGGCCTTCGTCGCCACGGCTGGATTCGCCTCGAAAGTTCTGGTCCGAACGCAACCCGGGAGAGGTGAGTAGCAGTATCGCTATCTTTGGGTTCCCCGGGTCGGGCGCGTGGGAGGTGCTGTAAATGTACGTATACACTAAGTGGCCTGGCTGGTCAGGGAGCTCGGCGTCTACGGCAGGCAGGCATATGTCGCGACGACCCAGGGGTTGGGCTCTGACACCGCGTGGCTCGGCCAACCTCGAACGGTCGGCGGCGTCTCCATCGCCAGATCGTTCCGCATTGGCGGATTCTGGGCCACAGGTGGCGTTCAACCTTGCACGCCCGTGACCGGGTGGCCGCCGCGCCGACACAAGACGAACCTACCCTAGACGCCCCCGCTTCCCGAGCTGTGGGATGCTGGAGCCTCCGAACACCGGACTACTTCGCCGAGCTCCTTGGCTCCTCGGCGGGCCAAACGACGCGGCGTATACTTCGAACCTCTCCAAGTGCTCCGAAGAGGGAGGCCGGAAGTTTGGGGTCGCCATCAAGGCAGGAGGCATGGCGTGCGGATGGGGAGGGCCCACGGGGGCAAATGTGAAGTGAAAAGGGAGCAGTGGGTATGAGATCTAGATGTAGAAGTCGTGGCAAAGGCCATGATGTCCGCGTACCTCTGACCCTTGCCCCCCTCCTCCACGCATCCGAGAAGGCGGCGGGGCGACGACAGCGACGAAAACGACGACGCCGTCGGTTTGGATGTTCTTGGCCAAGTCTGAGAATTCTCGTCACCACTGTCGGACACGGCTCGAAGAGGCTGGACTGGGCCCGCGGAAGAGGAGGGGTTCGACCCCCCCCCCCACCCCTAAGATGTTTGGGGGGGAGGGAAGAAGGGCGGTTGAACCCCCCCCCTCATACGACCACAGAGCACGCCCTTTCTGATAACCCAACTGGCGAATGAGCCTTTTTGTTTTCTCTCTCTCTCTCTCTCTCGTTGCTCTCTCTCTCTCTCTCGTTTTTCTCTCTCTCTCTCTCTCTCTCACGACCAGGGTCGAAAACTTGCCCCCAAAAAACATGCCGATGAGGGGCACCCCCAGAGCCCTAAAATCGCCAACAGTTCAACATCGAGACGACGCCAGCGCGTCGAGGTGGCTCCTCTCGGCCGCACGCAGGCATGGCACTCCTCCTCTTCCTCCTCCTCCTCCTCCTCCTCCTCCTCCTCCTCCTCCTCCTCCTCCTCCTCCTCCTCCTCCTCCTCCTCCTCCTCCTCCTCCCAGGCAGGAGTGACCTTTGGTGCGCGGCTCGCGGATCGCTGCGTGCGCGATGCCACGGCGGCGGCCTGCACGCCGAGGCCTGCCCCCCACCCCTGAAGGGAAACTTCAGGGGGGGGGCCAGCTCAGGGGAGGAAACATCGACTTGGAATCGGCGATGCATCGCCGTTAGATCGACAATGGGCCCCGAGAGCGCACCCACACGTTCCTTGACCCGTTGGGCTATCACGCCCCTATCTGCGAGGCGGG